AAAAAACCCCACGGATTTTAAGACAGGATTTTTTCAAAAATATACATTTTCTAACTTTTGGGATATTATTTTCTGATAAAGGGTACATTTATATCCATGTTTAAGCCAGAATGATTTGACATTTAAATATCACTTCCCTATGACTTTGATAGTGTTCAACCAAACGGACACGTTTGGCATTGCAAACTTTAAACTCCCTTCAGAGCTCCTCCATCCATCTCTCTTTTTTAGCCGAGCCGCTGAAGCTGCACTGGCAGGGAGAGGCCCCTGAAACCCGGGGAGAGATTTCAGCCGCTCTCACTGCTGAGCCGCTCCTGGCATTTCTACATCTGCGCTCCTCCATTAGCTCTGAGTGGGCAACATTAGCCACTCGGCTTCAGGGTAGAACTGATTATGAACAAAGTGCTGAATCACCGGCTTTAGAAACACAGCAGGCACCTGGAAATCAAAGCAGATCTGCACTTCTCAGCACAACACCAGAGGAAAAACACCTTGGTTTATTATGTAAGCAGGCGGTTCCAAGAAAGGGACAGAACCCTGGAGCAGAATCAGTGCTAGCTTTCTATTAAAGCACATTTTCTTTAAAATTAATTCATATTCAATGCTTGATATTTAGCAGATACAATTAATTCCATGCTATGAGTTAGTGTTTAACACGCTATGAGCTCAGTTAAGGCATTAAAGCAGTTCACCACAGAGATGGATAAGCCCAGTGTTTTCACGCTCCGCTGTTCATCAGCAGGTATGTTCTGTCTTTTTGTGTCTTTGCATTATCAATATTTATTTGAGCAATTAAGCAAAGCGTTATAAAATGAATAAAATGAATCATTTCTGCCACTTGTGGCCTCCAGCCATATAAAAACACAGCAAACAGGGTTCAGTGTAGCCTGACTTAATGAGATGATCTGGTCTGGAGCCGGTCCTGAAACGCTCTCACCGTAGCCTCAGAGTGAAAAACAAAAAGCTGAAGCCAAATTAGAGAAGCTGGAGGTAAGGACAGCTTATTGATACGGACTATGGAGCACGGCTGAAGAGGCATGGTGATCTGGGCTCAGCCTTTCATTTCCATTCAGAAGGAAGGATGCTGGAGGTCCGTTTAGAGGAGAACGTCTGAAGGACGCCATGTGTCTTCATGGACTATCAGGACATTGCTCTGTTTGCTAACAATAAATACAGAATAGAAAATCAAATAGAAAATCCCTTTATTGTCCCACAAAGGGGGAAGTGTTACGAAATATAAGCAATAATTCATCATATCTGGGGTTTCTCCAGGCTCCATCCTTGACTGTATTAAACCTGGAACTAAACGCCATTTCTGACATTTTGAATTGGAAAAGCTTCCTGGATGGAAGAGAAACGTCTTCAGACTTGGAAACAAAGTCCAGTGGATTGATTTTAATTACATTTTTTTGAACGACTCTGACCTGAATGACAGAATCTTCAGCAGCATCTTGGCTCCTTTGTTTTTATCACCTACCATCATGAAAACCTTGGTTGGTCATAAAAACAATAGCCTGATTTAAACTAGCTTTTTAAAACCATTCCAGCAAAACTGCTTTAAATCCAGTTTTTTTTCTCTCTTGTACTGAAAGTTTTATTACACAACTGATGGACATGAGCTGTTTGGAAAAAGGTGTTTTAACAATGTCATTAGGGATCCTCATTTCGTTTGATTGCTTTATCCTGACCAATCAAATCCTATTGAATGCAATCACATTTTGTTTCCCTTAAAATCAGTGGATCCCCATAGCTTCAAACAGCAGTGAATTAGTTTAAAAGTTAGCTAAATTAACAATAAATTAAAAAACAATCAGAGTCCGACCAACAGGAGTTTCTGCTACGCTGGTTTGTCCATAAAAAGGATTCTGAAACGCTGTAGCTAGTTTAGAAGATCTGAACCAGTTTACCGAGCGTTCCCACAGATCTGAACACGTTCCCTGGATACTCCTTGGAACCACCATGCAGCCCTGAAAGGAGCAGAAACTGCTGCTTTCTAGTTTTCTGGCTGGTTGTTTTGCATTCAGATTTGACTACATCTTCCCTTCTTTTCTACGCATTTCTTTTTTCACAGAGTCCTTTTCCTGCATTAGAAGCTTTTCAGGTTTTCTAGTTTGGGAACAGTCCTACACTCAAACTTCCTCAGCCTGAAACCTTTTTCCAGAATTGTTTAATGAGAGTAATGGACCTCTGAGCAGTGATCTGGCTCCACGTTACCGTCCTTTAGTCGTGCGTTCTCTGTGCTCAGGCTCCGCTGATGGTAATGCGGTAAACGGAAGTGGCTGTTGGATATCATTCTGCTGCATTTACAGTCAAATGTAAACTAGGCTGAGTTTCTGCCTTATCATTGAAGTAGTTTGAATAGAGCTCAGATGTCCTGCCAGAGCCTCTGATAGCCTAGCTTATAAATAGAGCATTTATTTTCTAAAGAATAAAAGCAAACAGACCGACTGGATAAAAGGATAATCAACAAGCTTGCTCATAAAGTTAACTATACTGCCAGAAGTCTTTGCTCACCTGTTTTAACTTTCCTTCCTAATCTGTAGAGTTCAACATGACGCTGGTCCACCTACTGCCCCAAAATAGCTGAGCTCCTCTGGGAAGGCTGGAGCACCAGCAGAGTGTTTACTTTTTCCGGAGCTTATTGGTCCTAGACCATGGCAAATCTAGCAAAATTAGCGTCTGCAATTATCAACAATATGGTGAATTTGGGTCATACTCTTTTCTTTAGTTAAAAACAATTAGAGGATTTCAAAGTAAACAGCTGATTGTGAAATGGTTAAACAACACCTGGGTGAGATAAAAAGATCTGCTCCGTGATTTTAGGGGTAAACCTTTAGTCAGTGATTGATTCAGAAAACAAGCTGTAGCGTTTCCTGCCCTGCAGGGTGAGAGCTTGCTGTTTATCTGTGTGCAACTAAAGAGCTATTCAGCATGAACAAACACCCACACAAAGGACATCTTTGTGAGGTCCAGGCTTCATCACATTTACTCTTTTCTTTCCTTTAAACTCTAGATAAACTGAAGTTAAAATAATCAATTATAAAGGATTTTTATTTTGCCGTTTGCAGCTTCAGCTTCGCCTCCATCCTTCCCCTCAGACCGCCGTTCAGGTCAGTAACCACAACAACACAGAAGTGGGTTTTTAACCTCATAAAGCAAAGATCCTGTCAAGATTAGGATTTATTACACAGAAGCAAACAGGCTGTTCTTTAAACCAGCCTGAAAATGATCGCATAGATTTCAAACCCAATCTGCTTTTAGAATCAGTGAACTGTTCCTGGACTCAGACCTAAATAATCCAACAGTCAGCGAGCAAAGAGTTAAACATCCATCATCTGTGTGATGACATCATTCATTTATAATGTCCAGATAAAGTGGATGAATCAATCATCTGTGACATTAATCAGACTATCTAGGTGGTGAACAGGAAACTGAGGCTACGTTCAAACTGCAGGCCTTCATGATCTATTCAGGGTTTTTTGTGAAATCTGATTTTTTTACGTTGCCGTTTACATTTCCAAATATATGCGACTTGTATGTGATCTCCTG